ATTCAAAGGCACTCTTGCGTCTTAAAAAATTGCTGCTTCCAGGCTATATTTCCTTTTAAGCCTTGGGTGGTGAAATTTCAATAATTACATGAATGTTAAAGTGGTGTAGAACAAGACACAATAATTTCTAAAATTGAAACAAAAAAGAAGTATGCTTAGTGACCTTGCATCTTTGAACTAAAGTGGAACAATGATGGACCTTGTCTCAGCAAAAGCAAGCAGGAGAGCCTCCTCCACCACCATAGAATGTTGATCGACTGGAAAACGCAGACAGAGGTTTAAAAGAGGCAGGCTGGAGACTCACTCTCATTGGAGCTGCTGTGGAATATTTTAGAATTTTCACTTTTCACAGTTTCCCTTGAGGTTTCCCTAACTTTACTGCACTGAAAATTAAGGTGATAGTATCAGTGGCAAAACATCGCTCTATTTGTATAATTAAGTAACCAAATCTGGAGATTTTCAGAGTTATTATTTTCATGCAGTCACATCTTTAGCTGAGCCTTCCGGAAAACAGTATTTTCCTATTTTAAATTCCTGTGAAATAGGCATATTACTATTTGAATTTTATGGAAGAGGCTTAGAGTGGGTCAGTGACTTGTCTGAGGTCCCATGGTAGGTGACAGAGACAGGATCTGACCCAGAACTGACTCTAAAACCTTTGGTGTCTTTACACCTAGGACTTGCTGCCTCACTTTGAATGCTTACACTTTTTCACAACTATAATCCAAGTTATAATCAAAATATTTTTAGTAACTTATTTGACTATCCTTAGAAGAAATTCCTAGAAACAGAAGTATCTTTCAGAAGGCCCTCACCTCACAATACACAGAAAGAGATCAGAGCCTGGTTCAAATTGTGACCATCTAAGCTGCCTGTATTTGCAGCTTCACTGTACATATCTGGATTAGTTAATTCATCTGAGTTCCCCATTTATATGAAAGAGTTAATGTTAATACTTAGCTCAGGACTATTGAGAAAACCAAATGAGTTAATACATTTAAAGTCTGGCACATAGTTGGTTATAACAATGTTACCAAATTACCCTCCAGACAGTTGATAAGCATTTGTACTTCCTAATAGCAAGTGTTTTTATTGTTAAGCCACTTAAATTTTGCATTTGAATTTACTTCTCCGGCTCATATAACCTCAGGTGTGCATGCCCAATTTCTGACCTGCTTCTGGTTCTTAGGTTTCTCTTACCCCAAAAAACCTCCTTCTTTTAATGTTCTCAGAGCTAATCACTCTTTACCTTTCCAAAACTATCACGTCCTGCCCACAGCCTTCCATCACAATTGTGCAGATGGTCTGCAATAAGGCCTCCAATGATTTTCAGGCTTTTTATCAGTTTCTACCCTCTGAAGAGCTTAGAGCAATTTGCAGGATGTCTTCAATTTTAGTCTTATCACAGAGTTCACTGGTTTCTCCAAATCAGCAATGACCTCCAAAGGTTCCTAGTACACCAGGGGTACGGGGCTTCATTTTGCATTTATTTGGCATTTACTTAGCATTTGTTTACGGGGTACTTCTTATGTGCTAGCACTGTGCTAAGTGTTGGGAACAGGGAATGAGGTAGGCACAGTACCAGTCTTCCAGGAACTTGCAGTGTAATCCCCAACACTGTCTCTAACATGTCAATTAGCTGTGATTCTAAGGAAGGAAGTAATCTTTGGAGCACACAGACAATGCACCAGGATATAACGTTGCTCCATGAGGCTCCAAAATAAACCTGAATTCCATTAAGCCATTCCAGGCTAGAGGTGGTATGACAGGTTCACGATAACATTCCTCTGTCCTCAACCTCTTTAGAAGCGTCAGACATTTCCTCACATTTCCAGAGGCCTTCTCATTTGTTCTAATGACCTCAGTCATCTCACTGATCATAGCTTGCCCTCTCCTCCTCCTCCTCCTCCTCCTCCTCTTCCTCCTCTGGGTTAGTGCCCTGAGAAAGCTATCCCTAAGCCCTTAAAGGAAAAGTCCTATTGTATTCCTGCTGAAGTTGTAGGAATCACTCTTCCCTCACTTTAGTGATAAATTCTGATATCTGGGTTTCAAACAGTAATGAAATTAGGTTTTCATTTGCTGGTTGGTTGGTGGGAAGAGTTTTTCATATCCATTCATTGTCCTCTCTCCCCAGAAATCATATGTGGGTCTGTGGGGCTGGTATGAATCCCAACTGGGAGCTCCACTCACCTCACAATTCTCTCCCCTGGCAGGCCTCAGCAAGACCTGAGATGTGCCCAGACATGTCTGAGTTCTGGTATAAGCATAGTTTATTCTGAAGCTGGGAACGTTGCTCTACATGTTTATAAAAAAATGACTGTACATTAAAAACTTTATAAGAATAATACCAAACGTCTTAAAGGGATTGTGTTGGATGTAGTGATATTATGTGTGAAATTTGTCTTTATTTGTAAAATTTTCTAATGTTGTATCATGTAATTATGGCTTTTATAATGAAAAAAAAAAAAACAAAAACCAAAAACAACAACAATAACAAAAAAACAAACATATAGCCATACTAAAGAAAGGCATTGTGCTTTTGGAAAATCATGCCCTCTATGGCAAGGCTTTAGCTGTTCTGGGCAGACGTGAGTCTGTATTCTAGGGCTGGAGCTGGCACAATGTCAGTGGTCCAGCCCATCTGTTACAGGTTGAGGTTTTGGATAGAACTCCAGTTGTTCTAGTCAGGAAAAGGAGTGCTAGACAGGGAAACAGAGGCAAAAAACCAATTTTTCATGTTCTAGGCACATATCTCTGATGAAGGAAACCAAAATATTCTTCTCTAAAATAAGAGACTTATTGAGCTAAAACTAAGGTTAAAATGCAAGAGCACATGCTGCCCCTCCCCTCTGCGTTGCCCACCTGAAGATGGGCTCCTTTGCTGCCCTTGCTTATCAGCTCAGAAACAGAACTCGGAGATACTGTTGCCAGAGGATCTAGGAGCAGACTTTCCTCTTCCCATACATTTACCTTCCTACTTTTTTTGTGTGTTTTGGAAACCTGAAGATACTCTTTTCCATTACATCATCTTTAGCCTGAAGCTACCTCCTTACATATTTTAAGTTCAGCCTAAAAGGTTTCTCTGTACATAGTGAACTATAACTTAAATGGGGGTGTAAACAGACTAAAGCCTACGCTTGTGCAGCCACTGTGTTTTGGCAAAAGGGGACCAACTGTTCAAACCATGTTCAATAAGGTAAATGCCAAGCTATAACCAACGCAGCTGTTTTCTACTGCACTTCCGTTTTCTGTATGTCACTTTCCTTTTCCATCTGTAAATCTTCTTCCACCACATGGTTGCACTGGAGTCTCAGCCTACTCTAGCTCAGGAAGCTGCCTGATTTATGAGTTGTTTTTGATCAGTTAAACTCTGTTAAATTTAATTTGGCTAAGGGTTGTCTTTTAACACTTCTTTGTCTCGTCCCTACATAGGATTTGTGGGTCATTTTTAAAACACCATTTCAGCAAGGACCCTAAAACACTATCTTGAAAGAGAAATGCATTTGCCCAGAGGCCTCTCTCGCATAATGGGTGCAAGTGTTAGTAAACTTCTGCTTATTTTTCTTTTGTTAATCCGACTTCAGGAGAGTATCTCAACCTAGAATCTAAGAAAAAGGGAAGAAATTGTTTTTTCCCCTACACTAGTATGTCCGGTACTAGGTCATTTAGCAAAAGAACTAAGTCCAAGTCTCATCAGCCAGTGAGATGTATTTCTTGACTGGTTAAGAGTGGCTTGGGACTTGCAGGTGGTAACTTTTAGAGACTCTAGCCTAGCCTGTGTGGAGAGTCTCATTTGACACTCTTGAATAAGAAGCCCTAGTTATTTCCTGATGCCTTTACAACTTAACCTGGTACACAGAGACAAAAGCATGGGGGGCACAGTGTTTGCTGAGTTTCTCTGTCCTCTGAACATGTTTTAAGCCATCCATTATCGGTTTCTTTGTCAGAAAAAAAAATCTTATTTATTATTTTTTTGAAACAGGATTTCGCTCTGTCACCCAGGCTGAATGCAGTGGTACAATCATGGCTCACTGCTGCCCCTCCCTCCCAGGCTCAAGTGATCCTCCTGAGTAGCTGGGATTGTAGGCATACACCGCCAGGTCCAGTTGATTTTTTTTTTTTTTTTTCTGTAGAAATGAGGCCTTGCTCCGTTGCCCAGGCTGGTCTCAAAGTCCTGGGCTCAAGTGATCCTCACACCTCAGCCTCTCAAAGTGCTGGAACCAGGTATGAGCCATTTGTGCCCGGCCCAGAAAAAAAATATTCTTATTTACTCCAGTCTAATATTTTTCATTTTAATTCCTTCTTATTTACCTATACTAGAACTTCCGACAAGAAATAGGATACTACTAACAGCCTGTGCCAAATGCGTAGTAGGATGATTTGATAATTTAACTATATTTTAGAATAATTCACAGTTAACACTGTTTTTAATATGTCTATTTTCCCATTTATGTTGGAATAGGAATGACTATACCAAACTTCTTAAAGGAATTGTGTTGGGAGTAGTGGTATTATATGTGAAATTTGTCCTCATTTACTAAATTTTCTAATTTTATAAATTATCTAATTTATGTATTAAGCCTTTATCATTTATATAAGTTTTTTTCTTTTTATGAAGAGTAGCTGTATATGTTAATTTCATATGTGTCATTTCATTTACTTCTTTTCTGTTTGTAGCTTTCACAGTCTATGCAGACTGTTTGAAATGCTGAAAAACAAATCATTACAAAGCAAAACCTTATTGTAGAAAAGTTAATAAATGCAGAACAACATTAACAATTTAAATGACCCATAATTCTACCACAATGGAAAATTATTTTAATATATTTGTGCATCATTCAGTTTAGTGGATTTTTTTGGGGGGGGGGTGAAGGAGCAATCATTTATTTTCACACACTTTGACAAGGAGGTTTTCCGTAAATAACCTTTCCAGTGGATAACAGAGGACATGGGAATCAGCCTTCAGACATCAGCAGCTGCTCTGCTTAGGGCCGAGCAGCTCACGTTAGTGATAAACCCTTGCTCACATGGTGAGGTGGAGGGGTGTACTTCCCTTCCTTTATCAGCTTATCCCGCTGCTTCCTGATGGTACTCATAGGTCTCATCGTTTTCTGCTGAAGTATACACTCTATGAAATCATCATATTCTATTTTGCACTCTTTCTCTGCCTGAATACTACCGATTCCATGTGCACATTCTATCCATTCTTTTTCAAAAGGATGGCATCGAGCAGGAATCTTGTTCAGCACTTTTGATTGTCAACCATCGATCTATGTTAAGGCCAAACCTTTTCTGTGTGGCCAAAAAAGTCATGGCGATCGATGCTCATGCCCTTGTCTTATCTATAGTTTAGTGGTTTTTTAAAAAATCACAATATAATTACTGGATTTACTGGCTAAGCAAGGCTCAGCATGCTCGCCATGCTCATAACATTCTTCTAAGTGATTTCATTCACCTAAATTACTCTCCTGCTACTGTATGACCTGCTCATTAGCTAAATCTGTGGTCTGAATGGGCACTGCCCTCAAAAGCAAGGGGGTAGGCATAATAATGGTCCCTTGAAAGATATACACATCTGAATCCCTGGAACCTGTCAATGTATTATGTTACATGCAAAGGGGAATTAAGATTGCAGACAGAATTAAGGTTGCTGATTGGTTGACAGATTATCCTGGATTATCCAGGTGGACCCAATGTAACTACAAGTTTCCTTAAAAGTAGAAGGGAGAGTTCAAATATTAGAGTCAGAAAAAGATGTGACATTGAAAGCAGGGTCAGAGAGATGCTATGTTGCTGGCTTTGGAGTCAGAGAAGGGGAGCCTTCTCACATTTTACAATCAAGATTCTAAATTAATCTAACCTTTTATTTTGAGGCAAGTAAAATATAGGCCAGAAAAAATGACGATGAGCCAGTGGATGCAGGTGGCCTCTAGCAGTTGAAACAGAAACAGATTTTCTCCTATAGCTTCTAGTAAGTAATGCTGCTGTGTTCACACCTCAATTTTAGTAGAGAGACCCCCATGTGAGACTTCTGAACTACAGAACTATAGTTGTTTTAAACCACTGAGTTTGTGGCAATTTGTTACAGAAGTAATAGGAAACTGAATTCCTTCCTTCCTTCTACTTTCTCAAAAAGTAAGGACTCTTCAATGCAGGGCACTGTATTAGGTGCTGAGGCATTATGCTAGACGCCAGAAACAGTAGTCAAGTAACTAACAGAAGGAAACAGAGCAGAGAAAAAAATAATTAATGCCACCCTTAATTCCACAGTTTAGCAGTCTATCGGAATAGCTGCAGCCTCTCTGCCTCTTGCTTTACTGCAAGGAGAGAGTTCTCTACATATCTCACATTTCTTTACATCTTTTGAGAAGAAGCCTCTGACTGCCTTTGTTCAAGACTATCTTTTCAAGGATGCTTGTAGGGCAGACATCAGAATGTAAAGAATAACAAGTAAAATATAGGCCAGAAAAAAAAATGATGTTGGTATAACGGCTTCAAAAAATAAATTTCACAATGGAATAGTTCATCTTATATGTATAAAAGCAAGTTAGGGCACGCATGGTGGCTCACACCTGTAATCGCAGAACTTTGGAAGGCCGAGGCGGGTGGATCACTTGAGGTCAGGAGATTGAGACCAGCCTGGCCAACATGGTGAAGCCTTGTCTCTACAAAAAATACAAAAATTAGCTGGGCATGGTGGTGCATGCTTGTAATCCCAGCTACTTGGGAGGCTGAGGTGGGAGAATTGCTTGAACCCAGGAGGTGGAGGTTACAATGAGCTGAGATCACACAACTGCACTCCAGCCTGGGCTACAGAGCAAGACTTCATCTCTAAATAAATAAATAAATGCAAGTTAGATGAATTTAGAATACTGATTATAAATTGGACAGTAAGTTTAGTAAAGATAAAAATAGGAAAAACTAGAAATGTTAACTAAGCTATTGTATTAGTCTATTCTCACACTGCTAATAAAAATATACCGGAGACTGGATAATTTATAAAGGAAAAAGGTTGAATTGACTCACAGTTCAGTATGGCTGGGGAGGCCTCAGGAAATTTACAATCATGGCAAAAGTCCAAGGGGAAGCAAGGCACCTTCTTCATAAGGCAGCAGCAAGGAGAAATGCAAGCAGGGGAAATGCCAGACACTTATAAAACCATCATATCTTGTGAGACTCACTCATTATTACGAGAACAGCATGGGGAACCAACCGCATGATTCAGTTACCTCCACCTGATTCTGCCCTTGACGTGGGGATTATAATTCAAGGTCAGATTTGGATGGGGACACAGGGCCAAACCATATCAGAAAGTTGAGGAATTACCTCGTTTTTGGAATTTGCTCTGAAAATACTTTATGGTTGGAAAACCAAGTAGTATGCAAGTTTTTACACTGTGATTATATTTGTATTTAATATTTCTTCAGAGTTAAATTGGCATTGAAATTGTAGGATCAAAACTGAAGAAGTATGTGTCTTACAACAAGAAAAATAGCTAACTAAAATACTTGAGTAAAACTTTTGAAATGTCATATTGAAAATATGACTTCTTATGTATTTGATAAATTACTTTTAAACAAAGTAATTTCTGAAGCAGTGAAAGAAGCAGTGCCTTTGGTGTTTGACCATGTTTATTTATCTACTTTCAGATGTAAAATCTGTAAGTTTTCAGAAAAATAATCATTGAAAGATATCAAGTAATCAACTCCAACATCTACCAAATAAAGCAGAAAAGAATTTTAGAGTCCTTTTTGTTTCTTTGTATTGATTCCATGATTCCACAAGTGTGACCTTCTTCTGATTTCCTTGTAAGTGTTCCTACATCAGTAAGTGAAATAAAACAGTTCAGGACATTTACTCTGATTTATTTACACAAAAGATTTACAAATATACAGTTAAACTTAAAAGTCATTTTTCCTTATTTTTCCAGGAAATTTAGACATTCTTAAAATTTTCCCCATGTTCATCATAGGAAATAAAAGAAATAAAATCACATGAAGTTCCACCATCCCAAGATAAACACTGTTATATTTTGCACATTTCCTTCTAGTTTTTTGAGATCATATATTTTATATAATATCATATAGCAAAATATAATACACAGCCTGAGTTTTCACTATAGAAGTAGTATATTAAAAAAAGTAGTATATTCTATTGTAGAAAATTTAGAAAAATTGTAACATAGAAAAAAATATTAAAATACATAATTGGATTAATGACAAATAGAATTTACTATCAAGTATGAAAAGTTCACCAAGTAAATTAATCAGTTCCACTAATTTATAATTCTCTACATTTTCCTAATTTATTAGAAAAAAATTAAATAACATTAGAAGGCTATAAAAGGCATATGTAACTTTCCAACAACTTTTTCCCAGAGTGGTAAGAAATCTCAACTCCTAGAAAGATTAGATTGTCAAAAATGTACAAAACTCAGCTATATAAACTGAGAAACTTATGTCACAAATAGATTTGTATTATAATGGTGTTATCACCTCCTAATGTGTCTGCAACCAGTTTGTCTATCTTATCTTCTTGGTATAGAAATATCCAGTTTTAATATGATCACATCCATCAATTTCCACCACCCACCCTTAAAGTTTGTTGTTTTTAGGTCTTGTTTAAAAATCCTTTCCCATCCCAAGTTCAAAAAGAATGCTTCATGTATTTTACTGACTTAATAGTGTTGCCTTTTATAGTTAGGTTTTTCATCCATTCAAAATTTATTTTTGTATTTGGAGTGTGGTAAGAATCTAAGTTTATTTTTTCCTATGTTTTGAGCCACACCTTAAATGATCTCTCTTTCCTCTATGAGTTACGATGCTAATTTCTATTATATTCCACATTCTCATATATAACATAGGTTTGTTTACTGATTCCCTATTCAGTCGCATCAGTTTTTGCCCATTCCTATACTGGTATCATATTATTTTTATTGCTATGGTTTTATAATATATCTTAATATATCCAACACAACAAGTTTCCTCCCTTTGCTCTTCTTTTTTAAAAATTCACCTTATTTATTTGTGGTCTATTACTATTATATGCACATTTTATTAACTAATTAATTGTCTAGTTCTTCACAAAATCCTGACGAAATTTTCATTAAAATTGCATTGAATTTATGTATCAATTTAGGGAGAATGATTTTTACAATATTAATTTGTCCCATTCATGAACATGGTACCTTTCTCTTTTTACCTAGATCTTGTTTTTTGTCCGTTAATAGAGCTTGAAAAGCTCTCTGTAAAGGATGGATTCATTCATTAGTTTATATCCTATGTACTTTGTAGTTTTTATTGCTATTGTGAATGGAATTGCATTTCTATACTAATTTCCAGTTGGTCACTGCTGATATATAAGAATGCTATTATTTTTATATAGAATTTAAATGATTAATACACATAAAGTATTTATAAGATTTCTTATATATTAATTAGGTAAATGCTATATGTGTTCACTATTATTATGTTTTGTTGCCTATCATCAACCTTGCATCTACACAACCTTTCTGAACTCCCCTATTAGTTCTAATAATTTGTCTGTTGATTCAGTTGGGTCTTCTGGTAGAAGATCTAATAATCTGCAAACGGAAAGGTTTAGGTTGTTCATTCTATCCAATCCTTATACTTCCTACTTTTTTGGAAGGAAAAAATATTATGTTGACTGACAACACCTCACCATATTCAGTGGAAGCTATCATAACAAGACTCTTTCTTGTTCCTAAATATCACGTCACAATTTTTTTTCCCTCAGCTTGCTAATAGATATTTATTAAAAGTTTTTGTTAAGGCTGGGAGTGGTGGGTCATGCCTGTAACCCCAGAACTTTGGGAGGCCAAGGTGGACAGATCACCTGAGGTCAGGAATTTTAGACTAGCCTGACCAATATGGTGAAACCCCATCTCTACTAAAAATACAACAATTAGCTGAGCATGGTGGTGAGCACCTGTAGTCCCAGTTACTTAGGAAGCTAAGTCAGGAGAATTGCTTGAACCCACGAGGTTGCAGTGAGCTGAGATCACACCTCTGTGCTCCATCCTGGGCAACAGAGTGAGACTCTGTCTCAAGAAAAAAAGCTTTTGTCAAATTAAAAAATTATCTTTTATTCATAGTTGTTCTAACACTTTAAAATATCTCATAATTAGATGTTAAACATTTTCAAATGGTCTTTCTGTATAAGTTGAAGTTATATTTCCCCTTTAGTTCACTAATACGATAAATTACATTATATCCGTTCTGATGATGAATCCCCTTACATTTCTGGAATAAAATTTGCATTGACATGTTTTATTAAAACATAGTTAAAATAAG